TGACTAAGGCTACTTTGTCATCCGTGTTTTATTAACTGGCGAGGCCTGCCGACGAGGCGACCCTATGATGTGTGGCTTATCTGACACGAAAGCATCAGCACTCCACAGCCGCAACGATTAAAAATACATTCTCTCTGGCACGGAACCCAAAACAATGTCACTGAGTGCCGTACTACCTTAGACTTAGCTGAGTGAATACAGCTGTAGTATAGTTGCCATAATAGCAGATACATCCCTGCATGGGATGAGGAGTGTAATGCATGCTACGACGCCTTTCTGCAAGCTGAACCAGACGAAGATGCAGCTACGAAGGCTACAGACCTGACAAACTGCCTTGACAAAAACGCAGAGAGGGAAGAGACAGTCCAGGGAATCGACCTCACACACTCCTGTAGAATAACCTGGAAAACCTTCAACCGTCCTACTGGCAGAAGTACTCGCTCCAAGCACTGTACTGTCACTGCTAACTCCATCGCTCAGCAACTCCTCGCCAATGGACACTTCAAAGATGCAGACAAGAACCACGCCCGCACTGTGAAACAGGAGACCACAAACCTGTGGAAAGCACCAGGCGTTGACGGGCATAATATGTCATCTCCATTCTCCCTTGAAGAACTCTCTGCTGCCATTTCCAAACTGAAATGCGGAAAACTCAAGGTCCTGACAACATCCCTCCAGAATTCCTGAAGCACTTTGGTCCCAGATGTCTAACCTGGCTCCAAGAATTCTACTCCTCCTGCCTTGCCGGCCAGTCAATGCTCAAGATTTGGCGGAAAGCCACTGTCATTGCATTGCTGAAACCAAAGAAGGCTGCTGATGACCCCAAAAACTATCGTCCGATAGTTCTTGGGGTCACTTCACCTCTTTGTGTCCCGTACAAGCTTCTTGAACGGCTTCTCCTGGCTCGGCTCGACCCAATCATCGACCCCCAACTGCCTGATGAACAGGCTAGCTTCCGACATGGACGCTCCGCAGTACAGCAAATTGTTAAGTTGACCAACACGCAACAAGGCAGGTGTCGTACTAGTGGACCTCACTGCTGCCTACGACACAGTGTGGCATCATGGCCTGGTCCTGACACTTTTGCTCCATTCCCGATCGGCACTTTGTGCGGTTCCTCGCCAACATCATTTCAACATCATTTCGACAAGCCGACCACGTCGGCTGAGGAATGGAGTACCCCAAGGCTCAGTACTGTCCCCCACCCTCTTCAACATCTACATTAGCGACATACCACACACCACAGCGAGGAAGTTGAGCGTCGCAAAAACTACTTCATCTGCCTTTAACCTAAACACCAAGGAAGCCCAACGCCAGCTGACTGTCACCCTAAACGAGTCTCCCCTGCCCTACAATCCAGATGCCACCTACCTTGTGGTAAGACTAGACCGGCAACTCACTTACGGGAAACATCTGGAAGCCCTCCGTTCTAAGGTTTAAGGGCGTAACTAGCTCCTGCGTCGGATGGATCATCATTGGGTGCCAGGACATCCACTCTTCTAACTGGTGCTCTTGCCTTCGTGTACAGCGCTGCCGAGAGCGCTGCCCCAGTATGGTGCCGCAGTGCCCATGCAAGGAAGCTTGATGTGGCCCTCAACGAAACCATGCGTATCATCACTGACTGCCTACGCCATACTCCAACAGACCTCATGCCTGTTCTTACAGGCATCGCACCTGCAAAGCTTTGCAGAGAGTGACTCACCGACAGGCTTGCGTCCAAGGCCAAGGCAAACTCCGATCACCCTCTGCATCAGCTGATCCAAGATGCACAACAGAACGCCCGCCCTCTCGTCGCTCCTTCTCCCGTCATGCTGCAGCCCTCTGCAACTCCAAATTCACTTTGCGTAGTGCGTGGGAAGCTGAGTGGGAGCAGACTGCCCGACCTGATCTATAAATACTGTGACCCCCGATACCACAGACCCACCAGGCTCAGACTTTCCTCGAAAGGAATGGGTCACCCTGAACCGCTTGCGAATGGGAGTCGGCCAGTTCAATGGCAGCATGTTTCGTTGGGGCATACGCCCATCAGCAGCCTGCGTGTGTGGAGCACGACAGCAGACAGCACAGCACATCATCAACGAGTGCGCTGCACTTGGCCCCCCAGCTGACACAGTGGACCTCACAATTGTCAGCGAACAAACAAGAACATGGCGTAGACAACTGGTCGGAATAGCTTGACTTTCTGCTGCTTCAAACGAAAGAAGAAGAGGGAGTAAATTGTCATTTTTTTTTCTTTTTTGCCCTTTTGCTTTCTGTAAAATCTGAACTGCTCTAACGAGTGCAAAGTCAGTTGCTAACCGTTGGAATCGATTACTCGTATAAGGTGGGGAAGGTGGGATGATGGGGGCGTGGTGGTTGTAGTTGTGGAGGTGGAGGCGCTGTTCAAACTGGAAATTTTTGAACAATAGGTGGCACTCTTTTAGGCGGTACAATCCTTAACAACTGCATTCGTGAAAAAAGAACTCCTGCAAAATAGCACTCGTGACAAAGGGGCACTCCTTAGAAAAAAATCCGTTGCAAAATACCCATACTTACCGTCCAAATTTTGTTTCTATAAGCGTCCTTAATTTGTTTTAAAATCTCAATTCCGTTGAAATCTGCAACTCCGCACCCCACCCCCCCCCCCTCCGCCTGGTTACGGTACCGATTATCTGTGCTTTTTATTTAAGCTGATATTATACCGTGCTGATTATTTAATTATGTTGTTTTAGATTCCCAACAACGGGGTGGGCACGTCGGAAACGTCGGCAATGTTAGCGGTTCTTTCAACCCTATCAGTGTTGGTAGTGATGTCACCTTCACTCTCACTAACCCTCCGCCGCCTGAGAGGGCAGGTAAATACAAATCTTTGTAACGTAACTTTCAGGCCCTATGGATTCATGTTTTCATTCTTTTCCGTTAAAGTGAGTTCAAGGTACCAACGAATGTTATTCGTCAGTCTGTCAGATTGGCGCGCACTTGCGATCCGACAAACGGGCGAACAGCATCCAAACATTTCGCTGGTAACAAGCTTATGTAAAGGTGTGCGTTATAGTACCAACGAATGTTATTCGTCAGTTTGTCGGATTGCACGTGCATGCGATCCGAAAAACTGAAGAATAGCATACACAAATTTCGCTGGTAACCAGCTTATGTGAGGTGTGCGTTCAAAGTTCTAACGAATTTGGTACGCGCGCACAATCCGACAAACTGACGAATAGCATACAAACAGTATAAAGATCATCCGGCTATTGGAGATTTTGTAATTTGACACACTGAGGAATACGTTTACGATCAAATGAATCATATCGCACAACTTTTCTGATTAAATAAGTGACCTGATGGATACTACGTTTCCTATTTTATTTCGAATATACACCAAAAGAGTTGTTATCGAAACATTTAGGGTAAAAAACGACGCCCAGAAAAATGTCCAACTTCAAACGCAAATATATCGAAAAAAAATTTCGCTTATTCGTCGATAGAGTTTTTAGAGACATGAAACTTGAGGATTGAAGACAAAGGGCACCGCACCTCTGGCCTTGACTTGGGGCTTCCAATTTCGAGCATTTTGGAAGCAATGGTCTTTTTATAGGTGGTTTGAGCGTAAAGGGTGGCATAGGTGGCATGGGTGGCTTGTGCGTAAAGCGCTCGCCTCTCGCCAAGGTGACCGGATGGAATACTGGCCGCGGATCGCATGTGAGTAGAGTTGTGCGTTGGTGGCGGGCGCATGCGCAGTGTATGCCACGACAGGGGACGTGACCTGGTGGGGGCAGCGTTTCAAATAGGGGTCATTAGTGGCGGTTGCGCAACAATTTGCTCGCAAATCGGAATGAACCGATAAACCGTCATCAGAATGAAGCATTTTTTAGCCAAAAAGAAGGGGTGATGATTTGGGGGTTGAATTGAACTGGAACTCAATTAACTCGCGTTGGGGGCGCCTTACAGCACGTCAGCCGCAAAAAGAACGTTCGTTCGTTTTCAAGCCTGATAACGAAAAAAAAAAATATTTCCAATGTTTTGATGAAATATAGGTCATCCATCCTTCCACATGTCGAACAAACGATTTGGGAGAATTTTTCAAAACTTCGCTTATTAGGTTGCAGGCCAGTAAATCGGTCCGAAATCGCCTACGCCGGCCAACTCACGATTTGCATGCCCTCAAATCTTCGCTATTTGAGCATATTGTGGGACGTGAACTTGAGAGTTTGTAAAAAATATGGATGAAAGCTGTGCACAGGACTGTGAACTTGTAGTTCTGTGCAATTTGGATGTAAATGGAGCCCTAAAAGCGCTCTATTTTGCAATGGAGTGTAGGCGTCGTTTTTCAAAATGGCGATGGGCTTCAGGACCATTTTAAGGGGTGGACATCTTCGGATGGAAATTTTTCCTAAAAGTCATCAGTTCCCCCCCCCAACAAAAACGAAGGGATAATAAAGGATGATGAAATTAGCTTTCATTTGATGTGTGTCTGGAATACATTGGAGAGTTGTGCGTATTATTACTGAATTTTTGAAGTAGGGACATTAATCATTGGGGTCTACGGCCGTTTATTTACTGGTCTGCAACCTTATGGGTACAACCCTGCATATAAAATCCCATAGACACTAGTGATTAATGCCCATACTTCAAAATTCTTTTAAAAATACTCAGAACTCTCGCAGGCATTCAAGTTGCACAGAAAAATGATGATCAACATGTCATCTTTCATTTGCTTTTCATATTTTGGAGGGTTGACCATTGACTTTTCGAGATATTCTCACCTAAAGAAGACGACCCTTATTTTCCCCAAAGCGGAAAAGTAGCCATCTAGAAAAACAATCCCTCCACAACATGGCAAAAAAGCGCCACTTTCGAGCCCAATTGCATCCAAGATACTCAGAATTGGGAGCCCCAAATCCGGGCCAGAGGTTCATTACCATATCTCTTCAAATTCCTAATCTTATGGCTCTCAGAACTCTCCAATATACCCCTTAAGGTACTCATTACAGTGTTTACACTTGACTTTGTTTTCTATTGCAGGTACAGTTTCACCTCAGTCTGGGAATCCCACTGCAGGTATTCTTTAAGTTTCAAATTGTCACAGCAATTAACTAAATCCCAACAGATATTTGTCCAAAAACTTAGGCCCTGCAATTTAAAATCCTTCCTATACTAAAATGCGATCTCCTTTTTATCTTTTTCAAGTTTTGTTTTAATTTAAATTTTGTTGAACATATTATAATTACGTTTGCTTCGACCAATGTTTTAGTCCATTTTTATTTGCTGAGCAAAATGCATTTACCGGATGTGTATCGATGTTGGAAATCATATTTATTGTGCGGTCTAAACACCTGTGAGAGTTTTGAGTGTTTTTCAAAGATTTTGGAAGCATGGAGATTTAACACTGGTCTCTATGTGAATTTATACTCGGTTGCACCTATAGTATTTCCAAGATGGCTGTGTCCTTGGCCCAGTTATCGACCCGTCAATAGAGGCCGGTATATAAGATTGACAGTAGGGTATGGTACTCATTTAAGTGTTTTCACTTGTCCTTTTTCTGATGCAGATACAGCCTCACAAAATCCTCAGTCTGGAAATCCCACTGCAGGTATTTTTTAAGTAACAAATTATTACAGCTATTAATTAAATCCCAACAGTTGTTTGTTCAAAAACGAAGGCCCTTTACTTTGAAGTCCTTTTTTAAAATGAGATCTCCTTTTTCCATGTTTTCCATTTTTGTTTTAATTTAAATTTGGTTGTACATATAAACACGTTTGCTTTGACCAATGTTTTAGTCCATTTTTTTGGCTGAGCAAAATGAATTTACCGGATTTGCAATGGCGTAGCCAGAAATTTTTCAGTGGGGGGGGGGGGGGGGCTGGAACATTTCATGGGGGGGAGCGTCATGTAGGGGCGTCAATCGCTTCTCAAAAGTGGGGGGGGGGCATACTTTGATCAGAACTGATGCGAGCGCGAAGCCCTTACGGCGTGGGGGTCGGGGCCTGCTTAAGGGCCCCGAACAAAAATGGGATTCTAGATGTTCTGTGGTGTGATCTGAAGCAATTTCTGACCACTTTAACCAATATTTTCTAAGCAAAAGATACATTGTAGTACATAATAGGGCCATGTAAATGAGACACGAGTTCATTTTTTTTTTTGGGGGGGGGGACATTTGATATTGTGTCCCCCACCCTTCAAAAAGTGGGGGGGGGACCAGTCCCCCTGTCCCCCCCCCCCCCCCCCCCCCAGGACTGACACCCATGGCGTCATGTAGATCAATGATAATTTTTTTAGAAACTCAAAATCTCAGTGGGGGGGGGGGGGGGGGCGATTGGGGGGGGGGGGGGCGACAGACTGAAATCATCTCAATATTTATGAAGCCAAAAGAAGAGCATTCATAAGAAATGAATTTCAAGCAATATTAATGGCATCCGGGATAACATCCCAATATATATTATTGTAGCGGTACGCCATTAGGGAGGTCTGCTCAAATGATTGGATTTAAGGACGCCAAGGACAAACAGACACAAATCAAAACACTATGAGTCGTATTATGCATGCTTGGTCGCATGAACTTGTTACAAATTACAAATCTAACTCACAAAACAAGTGTTACAAAAATCATATAACCTATTCAACTCCCAGCTGTATAAATTGTAATAACGTTGCCAAGGATATATTATATTCCTAATATTCGTGGTTTTAATATTTTTATCAGGTTCCTAATATTCTTGGCTCTAATATCTTAATCATGTTCCCGGTTCAAAGTGACGTTCCTAAGATTTCCCGGTTCCCCGAACGCCTGGTCAGTGTACGGCTGTATTGTGAACTAGGCCTCCAAATTGCACCTGACATAAAACAGTCGTACTGTAATAAATCAACATGTGACACACGGTGATTGAAACTTTGAGATTGCGAAGACTAATTCACCCCAAAATCACTCCTTTCGTCAACATGAAATAAACTAAAACCTAGTAGCCCAGCGGTAGCACAGAACAACCTGCATTATGTCAATAGAATGTAAAGAAACTACAAGTTTTGCTCATTTTAAACTAAAATGTTGGCTTTTAAGCACAAAGCTGTGCACACGATACTCACGCTTTGGTGTGCAAGCAGAAAAGGGCTGATATTCGCGCGTTCACAGCACTGAGTGCGCGTTTGTATATATTTTTCTGGGCTGTGCCAATTGTACGGTGCCCCGTAAAAGACGTCTCACAACATTATCAATCGCCCTTAGTTTTGCTGGGAGATAAAATATAATTCTTGCATAATAGTTTGATGACTTTCATAGCAAAGACACAAAATAATTAGATTTTGTTTAAGTTAAGCCTTGCCTTTGTTATAAGAAATCAAAGGGATGTTACCTCGGCAAATGGATTCTCGTTAGGCCCGGGCCCGATTTTTTGGCTCTGCTTTCAGTTAGCGAAAAAATCTAATAACGACCTCTTAAAGACTTTTGAAATTTCCCAGCCATAAAGTGAAAAATACAAACTGTTTTTCTCATTACAAAACAAGTCTTCCAAAAGTGAAAAAAAACACCAAAAAACACGCAGACCATTTTTCATTCAACATCAATGAACAAACCGTGCCCTGTGCTATAGTGATGCGATAATTATACTGTGCTGATTATTTGATTGTGTCGTTTTAGATTCCCAACAACAGGGTGCACACGTCGGAAACATCGGCAATGTTGGCGGTTCTTTCAACCCTATCAGTGTTGGTAGTCAAGTCACCTTCACTGTCAAGAACGCTGCGCCGCCACAGAGGGCAGGTAAATGCGAATCTTAATTGCGTTACTTTTGTTAATATACCATATTATAGGGCCGATTTCATCGTTAAGCAATGTTGGTGACAGAGCTTTATTGTACTGTGAAATGTTATACATCCAGTATATAGAAATAGTCAATCGGATAACAAAAAAGGAGTTTGGGATCATTTCTCTGAATTAATAATTAGTTGTTATGGTTAATATCTATCGCGGACATATCATTTCCGTTCTTAACGCTGGAATTCAATCCACAGGACAAAAAGAACTTTAATTCATAACCAGAGATTTGCGTTTGTTAAGTTACAAATGCAGGGTGATCGGGCGGGCATTTTCAGTGGACATGAAGATGGGATTTGCATTATGCCAGAACAGAAAAATAAGACTCATTACATTCAGCCTTTTCAATTGGAATCATGTTATTTCAATTGAATAACAGTGCATCCCTTTGGGTCTTAATAACATTATAATTTCACGTACCTGTCAGTTCCCGTTTGATTACGTCATAAGTTACAAATATTACACAATTAATAGAAATATTGATGTAGTTCAGACACCGTACATCTTCATCATGAAGTGATCAGAACTTCAGAAAAAAAAGAAAGATTATAACGAATATATCTATCGATAACACCTAACTTCCGGTTCGATGCACATTGTAGCTAGTATCACTATTTGTGCAACGAGCGTCTTCATAAGACACGGATCAAATATTGGATTTGAATAATTAAAAAAAAGAAACTTGATCAAATTAAAATTCTTCCTACAATAAATTCCGGTCTGATAACGTTATGATTTGAATCATCGCAAAGGCATTTGCTGTTGTACAACGAGAATATCTACGGCCAAATTTGGTAAATTTTGACGAATTAGTTTTCAATTCTGAAGTCTCAACTGTCTTTCACGTGCCATTAGAGGGCACCCTTTCGAGTTATGGCTTCATCATTATTACATCAATATAAACAAATCAATCCGTTTACAAGTGATATTCAATCTTCATTGCACTTCCGGTACCACCGTAGGTAAAGGTCAAGCGACTTCATATACACGACAAAATTATTCATCATAAGTTAGAGATGAATACAAACTGTCATTTGGTGAACTCTAATCTGTTGTCATCTGATACCTGGTGACGTCATCATGACGTAGGAGCCATATGCACACATTGGGATCAAAGTCGATATTTGTTGAAAGTTTAACGTTTATACCAATACATGCCCCCGAGGATGTTTGGCCAAAAAGAATAGAAAGAAAGGAGGGGAGGGTGCAGAAAGGAGGAGCGAAGATTAATTCTTACCTTTTTCAAAATGGTGATCGGGTCATAATTATGCGATCACTCAATCAGTCAGCTATCTAATGAAATGCCAAATTGAAGTGTACAGTATTTAGGCGAATCTAGCAATTTACTAGTGTTGAATTCAATTCTGTCTGTATACTTGTTCTTTTTTTCTGATGCAGACGCTACTGGACGTGGGGACAATGCCCCAGATTCACAGAATCATTAGTCTGGAAATCCCACTTAAGGTATTCTTAAAGAACTACCAATTCATGCCATGAAATAAATGCCGATGGTTGGTTGGCCTTTATAATCCGCCTTTCACAAAAAAAATCGTCTGTTGGGAAAAAAACATTGTGGGCAGAATACGGGCTGGTCCATATGCCTGTCATATGGGTAAAAACTGGGCAAACCTTTATAGGCAGATTACGGTTGGCCTATATGGGTGTCATATGGGTAAAAACTTGGCGAGCCCATGTTGGCAGCATACAGGCTGGCCCATATGGGTGTCGTATGGGTAAAAACTGGGCAAAGCCCACATAGGTGGAATATTGGCTGGCCCATATTGGTGTCATATGGGTTAAAACTGGGCAAGCCCATGTGGGTAGAATACATAAATCTTGGGTGCAAAATTATCTGGGGCCCATATGGGTCCTCCCATATGGGACTGCTCAACTTATCAAGGTATCAACTTAAGGCTCTCACAGCTTAATTTATTTCAATTTACCTGTGGTTCATTGACTGTTTCGTTGCCAAACAAAATTTGTACACACGGCCGTCGTAAATGTTGTTATTATGCTTGTCCAAGATGTTTACTTTATTTCAAGCGTTTCGCAGTGACGCCATGTTTCACGAAAGCGAAACAAAATTGTTCGCATCGCGTAAGTTACACCATGTTTTGTGAAATCGACTGCAGGTATGTTAGCAGGGGCGGATCCAGGAATTTTTACAAGGGGATGGTCATCAGTAAATCAATGCTGAAATCTAGACAGGTTTTATTTCTCCGGACACGAATTGGCATCCGTAAAATCAATAGATGGAGTGGGAGGGGAAGGGGGAGCCTTGTACCATACTTTCAATGTGGGCGCTGTTCACATCCGACGATCGGTAACACTATTATACAGAAAAGTTTAGAAATACCCCATTACAAAACTGGCTTTGTACACAGGCGGATATTGTTACAGTTACAACAGGACATTTTTGGGGGCGGCAGAACGGGGCGGGGGTCGTCACATTATTTTTAAGGTATTTCTATAAAAAGAAATAAGACAGAGATTGGGGGTAAGACCTCCCCCCCCCCGGATCCGCGCCTGTAAGGTGATGCTTACATCACCCCAATGACAAGGTTCTGTTTGGAATATTAACCATCATTATAAGAAGGTGTTTCCTTCCGTTTTTTAATTAACATTTTCATGTGACGGCTAAACATAGACTATCCACTTCTTGTCTCGCTAAGTCGTGGCATGCGCCAATAGTTTTATATACAAATGCAGTGACTGACTAATCTTTCAATAATATACCTGGTCACTTTTTTCAAAATAGTTCCGTTGTACACGGTTTAGGCAGTAGACTGCGTATCTAGTCGCATTGGTGATGATTCTTAATAATATTATATGTATTTATTTTTACCTGAATAAAGGATACTGATTATAACTTGGTGAAATTCGATGGTTTTGCTATTTTTAGGTTTCGTGGAAATGTTTCATTGCAATGGAGAATTCCACAACAGGCAGTATAGCAAAGACTGTGTTTTGCAATGTAATCAATTTATTACAATCCCTTTGTATGATACTTAAATGGTAATTTTTCCTATACCTTTTATTTCAGATTGAATTCAGCTCTTTGAAATCAGTTATTATATGGAGCCGAAAGAAGCAAACGCAGGAGAGATGAGTTTCAAGTACAATGTAGTTTCAATCTAATTCCAGGATAACATCCCAATATTTTTTTTATCAATCACTCTTAGTTTTTATGCGGGAGCGTAGAAGGGCCCAAACTAATTAAAAACAAAATCATAATTAGTATTTCGCCGCCTTTGCCTACTGCCTAGCCGCGGCGACTTACTATTTCGCCGCGGCGACTTAATATCTCGCCGCGGCAAGAAAGAAGGTCGCCATGGAGAGTTACTTTTTAAGCGATAGAAACTCGCCGCTGTGAGACAGTAAGAGATGGTGAGTCTCCGCGGCGAAATGCCAATTTAGATTTTTTTTTTAAATTGCTTGAGGCCCTTCAACACTACCGCATTTAATTTTAAATTCCATTGAAAGATAGAGACGGGCGCTCAATGTCTTTGACTAAATAATAGCTATTAACATTCTGATTAACACATTGAGGGATGATAATAGATAATGCTCACTTCGAAATAGTTGGATTTAGTTTGATTCTTAAAAGTTAGGAGAGCCTTTGCTTTATTCTTTTTCTGTTAATCCATCAAATGAAAATCCATCAAACATATAACTGTATTGCTTTGTTTAACTCTATCGGACCATTTGGGTATAGGGTGCATGTGTCCCCCCCCCCCCAAAAAAAAAAAAAAACTTTGCTCTAGCTCTAGAACAAATAAATTGATTGGCATGACATTTTGGTGACTTTTCCCTACCTTCATCGGTGATGAATATGGTGCATGCCAAAATGGAGTCTGTAGGATCTCAATGGTTGCCATGCCAACCGTAGTAAAAACACTAATATTCATATAGCATTTGGTCAGTTTTGTATAAAAACATGGAAATAAGCATTTTGTGAGTAAACCATTTCTGTGCCCGAACCAACCAACTATCCACTTTAGACTAAATACCATGGTCACGTGACCAACTGCAATGCATGCATGGAATCCAATATCGCCGCCATTGGCACGAAAAACCGCTTTTAATTTTCACAGTTTATGCAAAAGTTTCTTCTTCTTCCCTCTTCTTTTTGGGTGGTACTTCTTTTATACAGTTCTTGCATGGTTAAATATTAAGCAATGCAGGTATTTCATCAGAGCCAAATCAAATTTACAACAAATGACGATGTTGCCTCCATATGGGTATAGCGTCCTCTAGCGGTATATTTGCATGCCAAAAGTTGTGTAATCGGATGCCTATTGACCAAAAGAATGATTTTAAGCAACCTTGATATAAAAAAACGTTTGATTGTTTAAATTATTCCATATACGTACTGTTTAAGACCAAGAATGGGCACAAGACAGTAAAACGTCCTCTTTTTGTCACTGAGGCGCAACCAGACGAAATCACCTTGTAGATTATCAGCCAACCAACATTCCTGCAAAAATTTAAAGAAAGTCGGCTGTCAAATATGAAAACAAAAATGGGAACACCATGTGCCCTTCTCCCGGTCCAGAAAAAAAATCCAAATAAATCATCCTAGTACTAGTAGATTAATAGCATGAACCATTTTCAGAGCAGGCTGTCTTATTTTAGAATTAGTTTGATGTATTAAGTACAAGTGATATTGAGGCAAAGCAGCTTTAACATTTTGTGCGCGTTGTTGTATTGTACTTTGTCCATTTACATGTTGGTTTGGCAATAGTTCTTGCTTTAAAATTTTCAAAGAAGCTAACATTGGGTTCAAGAAATCCTTTTGTCTCTACAACCATCGGCTCCTCTGACTATATCACGTTGCATCTAATGTAATGACTTATGCTTTTTGTTAGTTTATTGCTTTTAATAAATGCCATTGAATTAAACATTAAACCGTTTTCACAGTTGTTTTCGTGCTTTTCTGTGGTGGACATTGATTTTGTTCACATAATCATGATCAGGGGGGTTGTTATTGTATAAAGTATTGCCGCTTGGGTAATTAGCAATTTGCCATCTAGGTTATTATATAATGTTACTTCAAATGGCGCCTCCTCCTTGTGGGGTCACTTTTAATACTGTATTTGATCAACATGTCAAGATTTTTTAAAAGGAATCAAGGATACAGATTCGGAAACTATTAAACTCGGCCAACCACCATAATGGCTTTATGGTTACCGTATGAGATAATGCAACTTCAATTTTGACAACAGTTATACCAAGCAAACAATGAAATTCCGCATTGTCATAAGGGAACATTTGGTATGTTATTTTCATATTACCCAGTTAAGACTCTTTCATCATACCCAGTTACCAGCGACAAGACGGATCAGAGTAGATCATTATAAAGATTTAATTATACACACCGTTTAGAAACTGATGACCTCTCTTAGTGATGCTTTTCATCAGGGCAATGAGGTGCCCGTCATGCTCCCGCTCCATCCGACCGTCATTGGCGATTCCAACACATTCAGGCACCTGGCTTTTTATGATGCGGTCCATACATTATAATCCTGCATCACTGATAAGCCGCAAGGTAGGCGACGAGCGCAGTAGTGGTCATATGGTGTTTTATATTTAGTCAGCTCCTTGAATTCCTTTACAAGAATATCCTTTACAAGAATATCCTGCTTTGCTTGTGCAAATTCTGAATTAAGCTCTTAGAGAGGGGATCTTATATGGACACCGTTTTAAGAAGTTGCTTAGGATCGAGACAGCCCGAGTGAGCCGTCTTTTTTGAACAGCTGTTGTTAATCGAGCTGCACCAGTCCAAGTGTTGGGAGATCCTTCTTACGACCAAGTCTTTCTCCCTCTTGCTCAGCTCGGCTTGCATTTTGGGTTTGATGTGAACGCTGCACTTTCGTGGCGGGTCTATCTAGGGTTGAGCATCTAGCTTGAGGTGTAGGCGAATGCGCGCCTGAAAGTTACCCAGGGTATGTCAAACTGTATTGGATACCGTTCCCGCAGGTCTTGTTTGTCCTCACCGGAGTGTTAGGATCATCCGTCGGTTCTTGTGGGGGCCCTGGCGGTACCTGAGGCTGTGGGACATGTGTGCCAGTATGAATCGTCACCACCAAGTATAGGGTGCGGCTTTCAGGGAGCCAAGCAATAACAGGATCTGGCTCGTCTACCACAAATAACTTCTCACGACTCCAGTCATTCTGCTTTTCCGTGTAAACACAAAGGTGTATGTAGCCGTGGCAGGTGATTTCGGAGACATTGTATGCCTTAGGATTGGTTTGGATGGGGAGAGTTGGTTTCTGTACTTGTCTCATATAAGGCGCGTGATGCGAACTGGTAAGGTATTGGCACTCTCCCCTTTGTCAATGCACGTGATGGTGGTGTTGCCCGAGACGATCGGGACAGATCACAATATGTCATCTAGTCTGGTAAAGGCCTCGGCTGGTCCTCGTCCTTGCTTGTTGTGCACATGTCTGATACTGATAAGGTAGTGGAGCTGAATGCTTCGGACGGCAAATCAACTACAGCTTGGTCATCCTCAAGGTTCTCTTGTTCTTACTGCTACATGTGAGGTATCTGTCTTTGGAACCACTTCCGCTATGGGAGAGGCTACGATTACTAGCCTTTCTGGATGCACTCTGCGGCCGTCGGCGTCCCTTGCTATGTGATTGGCTTTAAGAGCGCCCTCGTCGCCGAGTTTCGGTTTTTCGGCAATATTGTGTCCTTGCTACCGCAGACTTTGCACGTGTCACAGTAAGAAGCCTGCTCGGTGGTTTCGCTTGAGAGTGTCTGCAGGCACTGGTAACTGGCAGCCATGGCCTCATGGTAGCGCCCCTTCTCGAGCATTGCTTCATAATTACAACCATGGGCCTTTTCAAGCCAGCTCTGACGAAATGGCTCTAGTGGTGTAGATGCAATAACTAGCTCAACTATTCGTTTATTAAGTTCTGCCAGCAACACGTGGCAATGAATGGCCTAATATCCCTAAACCTATTGGCAAATTTGTCAAGCGTTTTCATTTTGTTTTTGTCAGTGACGCATAAGTTGAAGCCTATTGATACGGACTTTCAAATTTGATCCATAACTGGTCTTTAAAAAGTGCACACAGTTTATCTGGCTTTGCAAGGTCTTCTTGTAATAGGTTGAACGCAATACGGCGTCTCAAACCCTCTGTGTCAACAGCAATCTTGGTCTTTATTGTCACATTTTCTGGCTGGCCAATATAGTTGTCCTGCGTTCACAGGATCAAGTGTTTCAAAAAGATTAATTCTTCCGCCAAGTCTTTAGCCTAGCAGTGCCAGTTCATTTCAGGATATCAGGCCATGTTGCTTGGTTTCGGCTACAGCTATAGCACATTTTAGTATGCAGAGTATGACAGACAGGGTGATCTAGCTTGCTGTTGCTTTGACTACAATGATTAAGTATGTGCAGTGTTGTTACATACTCAACTTTAACTAAGTCATTAGTGTTGTCCGTGCAAAATTTGGCATCGAAATCAGATTTACACTGTCGCGTTGCACGCAGAGGAGAATGGCTTTATAATAATTCAAAAAACCTTAAGTCTATACAACTCTGACAACTTTATATACAGACGTATTAAACAGCGATAGTTCAAACTGATATAACTTACAACATGTACAAAGTGAATTGTGACACCCGTTCAGTTTTTTTGCTGTGTAATTGATTGGGGTAGTACTGCTATAATCGGGTCATCTGAATGCACGTACGTACCAGTTGGAAGAATTATCCGGCGAGGTCGCTGGCAGGATAGGCGGTGCTCTTGGAGTGCAGTGATGACACACACTGTCGACTGGGAAGGTGTGGTTTTTCTTGCGTTGCTATGCTGCTGGCGCCGTCTTCACGAATTAGGTGCAGCGCCGGTGAATGACAGGAGTGCAGATGTGCACGAGAGGTCATGCCAATCAAGGAGTTTTTGTTTCGGCACTGGGATGCTGATTCAGATCATCGATGGCTTTCTGATATTGCAATGTGCCGTGTTGCAAGTCGATGCGTGCTGGAGCACCCCGCCGCAAACATTGTATGTCTGCCATGCGTGCAGCGCACAATATAGTTCAGTTCGGTGGTTATGTGCACTCGACGCATATCGCGGGTGTATGTACAGCACATGAGTACGTACAATGCACGTTGCCGTGGCTGTGGTCGGGTGGTGAGTTTGCCTAGCCTGACAGTCAGGTGGGAGTTTTCTGTATATGCCGCAAACACGGGCCATTCTTGGAACGCCGATCATCAAAAGACAGTCCAAGCGGTGTTTATAGACGAAAATCCGGTCCTTTGGCACGTACCGTTGCCACCATATGGATCGAGGCTGAACGACCCCAATAAGATGAAGCATACAGTAGGACGGATGGACTGGGGATGTGTAGAGGTCTTTTATTTGACCTCTTACTTTTCTCGACATTTCTGCCTGTCCGGGTCGTAATTGTGACGTCATTTTAACATAAACCAAGCCCACTGCAAACGGAGAAGCTTAATCGCCCAAAATAAATTATCTTCATAAATTTTCAACCAAAATAGAAAGTCCCCCTAAATACTTTGTTTTCTAACTAAAAAAAAGAATACAGAGTACCTGTCGCTCAAATAATGACTAATCATGACAGAAATTCCTTAGCAATCCAGTCATACTCTTTATTAGCCCAAAACAGTGACAATGTGTACGAAAGTATGCAATTTATGACAAGTAATACCAAAAAAAAGTTACATTTTTGTATACGTGCAAGTTGTGGGTGAACAT